GACAGAGTCTCACTATGTAGTTGAGACTGACCTGGAACTCACTATGTAGCCCAGGCTGGTCTCGAACTCCCAGAGATCCTCCTGCCTCAGCCTCCTGAGTGCTGGAATTACAGGTGTGCACCACCACGCCCGGCTATTCCACTCATTTTTCTTTGCTTTTTCCATGCCATCACCCCACTCTTGCTCTGCAGTTTTGTGTTTGTTTGTTTGTTTGTTTTTCCTTTTCTTGCTTTTTTTTTTTTTTTTTTTTTTTTTTTTTTTTTGGTACTGGGCCCTTACGCTTGCAAGGCAGGCGGCAGAGCCATTGAGCCAAATCCCCAGCCCTTTGCAGCTTGTTTTTATTTGATAGTCTTCCATGCGCTCTTGCCTTTAAATGCTCACCTTTACTTGTCTTTTTGATGACATGTCTGTCTCCCCCTCAGACCCAGGAGCATCTCGAGGGCAGGGTCCGGGTCTGACTCGTCTCTGTGTCCCCCACGCCTGGCCCAGGGCTGGCCACAGAGTAGGTGGCACAACCATGGTTTACAAGAGGAGTAAATGAATGTTATGACTGGACTTTTGGACCCATGGAGGGAGGGGGAGCAGTGAGGGTAGGGAGAGTGGAAGCAGGGAGACTCTTCCAGGACCCTGCTGGCGGTGAAGCATAGGCCTCATGGGAGGAACGGGGAAGTTGCTTGGATCCAGCTTTTAACTGCTGCCCTCTCTCCTTAGCAATGGTGGACGTCATCTTTGCTGACGTGGCCCAGCCAGATCAAACCCGTATCGTGGCCTTGAATGCCCACACCTTCCTACGTAATGGAGGACACTTTGTGATTTCCATTAAGGTGCGGGGCCTGAAATCTAATGTGGGGTGGCAGTGTCCTGGGAGGTATTTTTTGGATTTAGAGGCAAGACTGTGTGGATGGTCAAGTGCACAACTGCTGAGTCTGACCATCTGAGTTTGTGACTCTGAGCGAGTTACTTAGCCTTTGTGACTCAGCTTCTTCACTTTTAACATTAGAAATATTAGTCCTATCAGCTTTGAGTTAATGTAAAGATGAATCAACATGTGTTCCAAAAGAAGCCTGTCATAGAATAGGTACTGGATAAATGCTAGGTGCATTTTCAAACTGTGTTATAAAGCTCAGAGGACTCCTATGGGTCTTTCGCTGGGTTTACCATCAGTGATAGTAGCTTTTTGCTAAAGTTCGTTTTACTGTTCCTGGCTACGTTATTAACTACTAAGAGCAAGCAGTGTGGGAAAAAATCCTGAATGTAAAGTTGTGGGAGTTTTTTGGTTTTTGTTTTTTGGTATTGGGGAATGAACCCAGGATCCTTACACCTCGATAGTTTCTTGCTAAGTTGCCCAGGTGGTACTTAAATTTTAGGTTTTCCTGCCTCGCTATCCTGAAGTTCTAAGATTACAGGTATGCCACCACTGAGCCCACTTATGAAACACTGGCTTTTAGATAAACAGAGGACATCTGGCCTCAAATTTAAACCTTTTTTAATGAAGTGTTTTTTTTTAAAACAGTGACAAAGTCCATTTGAAAAAGGAAAAGTGAAAAGGGAGGGAGAACCTGGCTCTGCAGACTGAGGTTGGGCCGAGTAAAAAAGGAAAAAGTAAGATAAAAGTACACCCCCGAGGACACAATACAGGCTGTCATGAGGAAAGCCATGATAGTTCTAATGAAGTCTTTGGCCACATTTCCAAAACTTAGATTGCTCTGAGTTTCTGTTGTGAACATACTTCTGGCTTAAATCGCATCAAAAAGGAAAACAGCCCAGAGCTTGCTGCAGATCTCAAATCCTCTCTCCTCTGTAGGCCAACTGCATTGACTCCACAGCCTCAGCTGAGGCCGTGTTTGCCTCTGAAGTGAAGAAGATGCAGCAGGAGAACATGAAGCCTCAGGAACAGCTGACCCTAGAGCCATACGAGAGAGACCATGCTGTGGTCGTGGGTGTGTACAGGTGAGCAAGGGCCCAGTAATCCACTAAGACAGACACGAACCCCCCCGCCCCCATCCAGAGTGCTGTGGCACTGGGGACCCCTAGAGTGGTGACAACTGTGACACTTTTCCTCCCCGTTCCTGTCTTCTCCTCACAGGCCACCTCCCAAGGTGAAGAACTGAAGCTCAGTGCTGTCTGGATTCCCAGAGATGTGTGTTGCTACTGTTGCACGTGTGATTTTTCTATTAAAAGACTCATCCCTTGCTCTGTTTACTCATTGTTCTGTGACCATCATAAACAACACGATGCAGGCAGGCGCCCTTGATCATCTTGCTTGGTGGAGGTTGAAAGTTTTATCTGGTTACGAAGCGCATGTTCCATGCCCAGTTGTCTCTTGCACAGCTGTAACTGATTTCGGCACTTGGGCGCGATTGGTAGGTAGCTCACTTCGCCTGTGTGCCAGCAAACACCGGGAGAGCGCAGGCGCAGTGTTACCCTGGTCACGTGAAGGGAGCGGGTGGGAGGGCAGGGGCGGAGCTCGGGTGGAGGGGGGGCGGTTTGTTGTGGTCGCCATTTTTCTGGTTGCATTACTGGGTAATCGGGGCCCTGGCACGCCGCGTCCGTCGGATACCTTCCGCCCGTGGGCAGGTCTGAGCTCGGGCTTCCCGAGCAATTTGGAGTCCCCTTATCCGCGCCCTCAGGTAACGACCGGGCGATGGGCGGGGCGGCTTGCGTTCACCGGGAGAAAGGGGTGATCGGGACCCGCCCTGTCTGCGTCGCCGGAGACTTAGCACGAAGCTGAGGGAGAAGAGGGGTGCGTCGGGCAGGTGCGGGTGGTGCCTAGCTATTCACAGTCGGATTCCTGGAAGGGGCTGAGCCCTAGGGAGCCCTCTGGAGAAGGAGGTTGGGAGGGGGTAGCTGGGCCCCACTCCCGCCCTTTGTTTGGGCTTGGTCTTCGCTTCGCCGGCTGCTTCGCCGTCGCGTAGCAACAGCTGCCCTGGGTTGTGATTGGCTGAGTTCCTGGCAGCAACGACCAATGGGGCGGTTGTTGCCATGGGAGGTGCGGCTTCCCAAACTCTTAGTTGGGCCCCGCCTTCCCAGTCTTCACCGGCCGGGGCGGTCCTTCTAGGTTGGCCCTTTGTTTGGGCTTGGTCTTCGCTTCGCCGGCTGCTTCGCCGTCGCGTAGCAACAGCTGCCCTGGGTTGTGATTGGCTGAGTTCCTGGCAGCAACGACCAATGGGGCGGTTGTTGCCATGGGAGGTGCGGCTTCCCAAACTCTTAGTTGGGCCCCGCCTTCCCAGTCTTCACCGGCCGGGGCGGTCCTTCTAGGTTGTAGGTTG